TCAAGGATATAAAATATTAGTTGATGTAAAATTAACAAATGTTTCGGTTTGAGATTATGCCAAGCAGATACGCAACTATGGAGTCAAGTTATTAATCACACTAATTTATGCTAAAATAATTATTTCTTCAATAATGAGATATTTATTTAGCGCCAAACTGAGATTAAGAATCGGGCTTTCTGGACATGTTTTTTTATGGTGAGGAAAAAAATCTAATGCGCATGCCGTAAAGCATACCCCTTCCCTTCAAAAAAGCCCTAAAAAATTGGTTGGTGGTGGGTGGCTTTGAGGATCCTGGATTTTAGGATCATTCCAGATATTGGATGTCCTGATCACGGAATTTGTACTGTATATATATATATATAAATTTAAACAAATTTAAATTTAATTTTTAACAAACACGTATATAAAAGTAAAAAAGCAAATTTAAATCCTAAAAAAAGGAATATATATATATATATATATATATATATATATACACATATATACATCTTTCAAAATATAACTTACCAGTATGGATTCACTCTTTTAAAATAATTCTACTTTAATTGAAACTTAGGAGATAATATAATAAATTAATCAATATTGTTTAGAAAGTAAATTATATATATATATATATATATAAATATAGTAAAAAATTTATATTTCACTATTCAAGTATTCACTGTGACAAGTATTCTTATCTTGTCACATTAACAGGCCTCTGTGGAAAGGGGCTTCTCTGTAAATAAAGCAATTGAAATTGAAAATTTAAGTGACTCATCATACATTTTTCAACGCACAGTATTTGATTACATAAAATTTTCTGGAGGTGTTCTTAATATCGAAATTAATAAAGAAATGAGATCAGCAGCAGCTTCTACAAGAAGTGGAGTTCGTTATTTAGAAGAACGTTCAGTATTTAGAAGAACAAAAATCTTTAACTAAATCTGAAAATTCAAAGAGGAAAAGAAATATTATTGAGGAAGAAATTGTTTATATGAAGCAGAAGAAAAAATTTCTTCAAAGGGACATTAAAGATATTAATGAAGAAGTAGATGCTTTAGCAGATGAAGCTGAGACCAGCAGGAACATTGATTTATTTATCAAAGCAAATGAACTTAAAAGAATAGTTAAAGAAAATGAAATAGACATAAATAAATTAGATGTTAAAATAGTTGAAAAGATTTCAGATTTAAAAAAAGCACAAATGTTTTGTATCTTTTACTGTACAGTTTATTATTCTAGTATCTTTCAAAAAACCAAGGAAATAAATTGTATGTTTACAAATCAGTTATTTTAATCTGCAAAATATTCTTACATTGTGATTATAATAGTAGTTGACTGTGTTTAAATAAATATCAAATAAGTTAAATAATAATCATGTAAATCTCTTAAATAGTGACTGTTATTAGTGTAAAATACACTTATACATGTTTTTCAAGAAATTATGTTCCTAATTTAATGTTATCTACTTCATAACTGTAGGGAGTTAGTTTAATTTTCAAAATTGTTTTATGGTAAGTATTAAATTGAATTTAATAATAGTGCATAATACACACTTCTGTTAGTTTCTTAAAGTGAAATTACAAGCATGAAGTCGGTTGTATGGATAATTGCTTTATTCTATTCATTTTTTTGTTTGCTGATAGGTCCTTAATTTTTTCTTTGATGGTCCTTAAAAGTCCTTAATTTTCATGTAAGGAAATGTGGACGAACCCTGATTTCTGTCTAGAGTTGGCATCAAGTAACAACATTTTGGTTAGGACATAGATAATTAGAAAGTACTGAAATAATTATGAATGACAATGTCATAGTCTCATTTGTCTCTAAGGAAATGCGACCAGAGATAACCATTTATGTAATAATAAATGAACTACTGTATTATGCTTGTGTAAAATATTTATTGTAGCATCTGAGATAGTACTCAAAACAAAAGTAAGAAATGGTTTTTCCATGGCAAGCTATTTTTCTTTAGCTTACTGATTTTCCTTCTTTAAACAGTAATTTTTTTTGTATCATTCTGCACTGATTTGTATAATGAACCATGTATACTTTATGTAAGGAAAAAAAAATCTGAACATATCTGTTCTTTTGTAAATTAGTAAAATTAGAAAATACAATGTAGTTAAAAGTCTGATTTCAAAACACTGCAAAGTAAGAACCACTAGTCAGGATGACCTGATTATGTGTGATATAATAGAACTTCTTTGGCAAAGGAAAAAAAAAATACTTCCAAATTCACTGATAAAGGATGCTGTATTTGTAAAACATAGAAATGTTGTTAACCAATCAGAAACAGTAGTCAGTTATGAGAAAATGATAATTTAATTAATAATACATGATTTAAGAATTGATTTAAATGTTACAAAAAAGCAAGTTTCAAAATCAGCACTTGTTTACTAAATACAATAAATATTCTGTATACTGTCCACCATATTGTGGTTTGAGTTGAAAATGCAAAAAAGCATATTCTATAACATATCAGAGTCTATCAGTTGTGATGTTATGTAAATGGTGTGTGCCTTGAAGTCCAACCATTTTATACAATATTTTTTAGGTGCTCCAACATTGCAATAGTTACGGTCAGGTGAATGTGGCAGCCAGTTGTTTGAAAATGATGTCTGATAATCCTTCATTTCTGAAATAGGCATTCAGTAGCTGACTCTTTGTCATTGCAATTTTTGGAGCAGCACCATCTTTCATTTTTTAAAATTACTAATGAAGTTTAAAATTTCATAAATTTGCATTACACATATGAAGTCTTATCACTGTTTATTTACTAAACCAAAAAATTCAGTTTGTCTGAAGTTCAGTAATTTAAAAGTAAACATGTTCAACCAGTTGTCTGTTCTTATCCATGTTGGTGGGAGAGGAAACCCTTACGCTATGAAACAGCATTAACTCATTTTTGAGTGCATCCTTCCTTTTACTTGCTATCATGTGCCATCTTATTTCCAGTACCGAGACATGTTCTTACAGTAGGGATGGTACATTCTAAAATACAGAATCAAAGCATTTCCAAAGTTAGGATCATCCAGCTTAACTGAAAAATCTTAGTTTATTATTTGTGAGTGAAAAAGTAAGGCAGTGTAGAAATATGAATTTTTATTTAAAGCATCTTTGTTTTGAGAACAGTACTTCTTTGTAATGGTAGATTTTGCAATATTTCGAGTACGTTATTTTGCAATTTTTTATCATTTCTTTTATACATTGTCACTGTAATCTTTCAAACAACATTTTTATTTTTGAAATCAAAGTTTCAGGAAATATTTTTAATTTGAACTTGTAGAGACATTAGGTTATTTCAAAGCGAGAGAGATGAAAAATGAGCAATGCCCTTACCAGGACTAGAACCATGGACCTCTCGAATACGAGTCGAGTGTGCTGACCACTAACTACACCACGAAGGCATACTAAGAAGGTGGGAGAAATACCTAATGAACTGAGAAAAGTTATGTGACTCTTTCTGATCATATGAGCCTTTCAATAGTTGAGTGATTAAAGCCTCTGTAACCACAGTTTGTTTCTACAAGTCATTTTCAATAGAATTAACTGGTTTCATATCTGTTTTTGCCCAATTCCCTAATGTATAGCATAAGTACATCTGATAGCATAGCTACAAACTAGTTTTTGAATTACATAACACAGGTAAAAACTAGTTTTTGAAGGAAAATTCTCTTCAAAGGCAAACACAAAGATGATGTATGCTTTTCCATAATTAAATTATTTTACTTGGCAGAAGTTATTTGTTAGTATGACTAACTGATACTCTGGCATATCTTTAAATTATATAGTGTTTACTATGTGCTTAGTAACTTATTATTAACTTATTATTATGTATAATTTACATACTAAGTATATAAGAGCATGCAAAATTTTTTAAACTTTATTGCTTAATGGCATACATGACTTTATGCAGTAATTCATGTACAAATTTATTTACTATGTAAATTATTGGGAGTACAAATAAGTCTCTGTCATTAGAAAAAATGGCACCGCCAGTAACTTATGGTTAAAATTGCTTGATGTAAAACATCATATCGTAAGGTTGGACATCTGCTAGCAACATAACCTTGAGATAGTGGTGATTTTATATCAGCATCATATACTTTTTTGTGCGAAAATGTCAAATTTTGAGCCAAATGAGCATCATTTGTGGGAAAATGTTTTTCTTCTTTAATTTGAAGAAATCTGCAGATGCTTACAGTGAGGCTGCTGTAAGTGAGAGAAGTTGTTAAAAGTGTTTTCAAAAGTTTAAGAACTGTGAATACGATGTCAAAGACTAAGAATGAAGCAGAAGGATGAAAGTATATGAACATGTGTAATTGGAAGTATTATTGAGTGAAGATTCATGCCAAATGCAAGTAGAACTTCTAAATACATTAGGACTGAACAAGCAATTTCACATTGCTTAAAATTATTGGGAATGATTCAAAAGCAAGGAAATTGAGTTCCATATGAACTGAAGCCAAGAAATATAGAATGTCAATTTTTTACATGTGAAATGCTGCTTGTCAGGAATAAACAAAAGAGTTTTTTGCATCGTATAATTACTGGTGATTTAAAATGGATCCACTATGATACTCCAAGAAAAAGAATAGATTGCTTGTAGAAGCATAGGGTGATGCTGCCTTAAGAGAGAGAAGTTGTTGAAAGTATTTAAAAAAGTTTAAAAACTGTGAATTTAATGACTTTCTTCTGACATGGTATCCATATGCTGCCAGAAAGATGGGGAAAAGTAGTCGGTAGTGATGGGCAATACTTTGAATAAAGCATAATGTACCATTCTTTCACAATAAATGCTCAATTTTTGATGAAACATAGCAGAGACTTATTTGTACACCTGATATCCAGCATTCTCTCTATATTATGCTGATGCTATGTATGCTACATAAAATAGCATGCATGAATGTCTAAGTTTAACAATATTGTATTGTGTGTTTTTTGGATGATAAGCTAAAAGAATTTTAGTAGGATGAGATTATTTCAAAATCTATGCATAATTATGTATTTATTCTCCTCTAGGATCTAGGGAAATATGGATTGCTATTTTACAATGCATTATTCATGATAATACCTCTTACTGTTTTGTGGTGGTATTCTGGAGAGATACAGAAGGTATGATTTTTCCTTCCCTAATTTGTTTAGGTAAGACATATTTGGAATGGTTTTCTGAGAAATATTATTTATCTCATTTTGAATGCAGCAATTAGTTTGTCAAATATTGTAAATTCATTTTTCGCTTCTTATTTAGCCCTTTGCACTCCAGAGATGCATTAGTTGCCACTCAGTTTATTTCAATGTATTGAGAACTGCCTCTGGAACTCAAAGGATTAATATGCAGTGTTTTGTAATATTTTCAGCAGTGGCATTTGTTTTTCCTAGTTAACTTGCAGTGCATAATAGTGGCATAGGCTTTTAAAACTTACCACCTCTTTGATTTCTTTGAAGTAGTATTTCTGTGTTAAAAATACTTAAAATTTGAAATATTTAAATGTAAACTACATCAAAATATATTTTTATGTTAGATTTTCTTTCTTATTTAGACTGTGGCTTTTTATAAATGGCTAGATGTCATGTTCCTGACTTCATTCCTTCTTTCATGTTTTATGGGTTTTATACTGATGTATGCTACTGTTTTATGTACAGCTTACAACTCTGCTCTCACAACTACTATTGTTGGTGTCGTTAAGGTAATAAAATATTTTATTGAAAGTGTAAAAATCATTCATTAGATTTTAATATTAGAAATTTTATCCATTACTGTTTACAAAGCATATTCAGTCATTTTAACACCTGAGTGACACAACTGCCCTTATCCCTTCATGACATTTTTTTGTTATTTGGTATAAATTAGCTTATAATTGAAATTATTTTGCTTTCTTACATTCTTTAATGGTGTAAATATGAGCCTAATGAATGGAAATTTACTAAAATATAGAATTATACAAATTTAACGATGTGTGTGTTTAAATACATTTCTTAATAAGCTGATCTAAAAAAGCCTTGCCACTCAGGTGGATGAATTGCTCTGTTATTTATACAGAAATTATGTATATACTTAGCTTATGTATGCCTAATGAATACAAGTGCTGAATGTTGGCTATATTGCTGAAATGTGATATCAGGTATGAGAATAAGTAGTTGCCAGATGTATTATTTTAAAGCTTAGTTAAGAAAACATAAAGTATTTTATTGCACTGTAGAGTTATTGGGATTTTTTTGATGCGAGAGACATGAAAAAACGTTCAATGTCCTCACCGGGACTCGAATCCAGACCTCTGGAATATGTACTGAGTGTGCTGCTGTTACACTTGAAGTCATGCAGAAAGGAGGGAGAAAATTCCTTATATACTCTCCATTTTAAATAGAGAGTATATTAGAAATTAAAGAGCAACTAGAGATTAGGGGACCCAATTGCCAAATCCTGGTGGTGAAGGATCATTATTCCAACTTTTTTCAGTTTTGGCCGAACTGTAGAAACATTAGATCAGGGGTTCTCAACCGGTGGTACGCAAGATAAAAGTAGGTGGTATGCAAAGAAGCAAAGTATTTTTAACTACCAAATTTGAAAGTTAAACATCCTGATTGAGTTTTTTCTCCAACACTCGTAAATTTATGCGATCTGAGCTTTGTTCAAAAGTGGTGGTACTAAAGGTTTTCCGTTTTTGTTTAGGTGGCATGTGTTAGTCAAGAGTTTTCAGTTTTGTTAGGTGGCATGCATCAGTCAAGAGATTGAGAACTGCTGTATTTAATCATTCTGAAGCAGGAGACATAAAAAATTTACAATGCCCTTTACGGGACTCAAACCTCGACTTCTCAAATATGTGCTGAGTGTGCTACCATTACACCATGAAGGCATGCAGAAAATTCTTTATAGCACTGATATTTACTTATTTGTAATTGTTATTAGTTAAGCTAAATTTAGATTCAACATTGGCTGAAAATCTAGCTGCATAGTGATGTTAATTGGTCTTTTTTTTCAGGCTGGGTGGGGGTCAGATACTTACAAACTGCTGTTGTTATGAATTGCTGATCTACAGTTTGTTGAACTGGAGCACATGCAGATTCAAGCTTTTCTTGCAAAGTTGATGAATATTTGAGGTGACTGACAGTAAATCTTTATTGGCAGCTTTAAATACAAAACTGAATATTTATGTAAAAGTTCAGTCTATGTAAATGTTTATGCTTTGCCCATCATATGCATTTGAATGTAATGAGAACTAAGAGTGGCTGAGAACTGACTGGTGTGGTAGTATCTTATGATAACTGTGAAGAAACAAAAAAACAACTTTCAGCTTAAAGTTCAATAAAATGCAATCCCATCCTGAAATTATATGCTTATGCAGCACTTGTATCAGATGAAAAAAAGATGCGTGTGCTTAAAAAGGCAATTTGATTTAGTTTTTTTTTTTTTTTTTTTTTTTAAGTATTCCTGCTCTGATAAGTTTGGGCTGAACCAAGTGTTGAACTGTAAAAAATTACTATCAGTCAATTCACTGTTGAAATAGAGAGAATAAGGATTTATCTTTGTACAAAAACAAATTGAATTTTTGCATCTATATTCATCATAAAACAGTTTGAAATGGAGAATATGCATGTAATAGACATGAATGAATGCAATAGACATGAAAACAAACAAAGCAAAACAAAAATATTATGGATTTGGATTCTTAGCTTGTGCATTTTCTGCATTGTCATTGCATATGTTCTGAAATAATTTGTGTTTTTTAAAGACCTTTTTGATTTTAAGCCATTTTGACTATCATTTCAATTCAGTAAAAACAGATCATTCAAAATTCTGGATAAGCAAATGAAGAAAGGTTGCTTACCTTTAAAATCCATGTTCTTCGATTTTGGTCCACCGCTTTGGTAGACTATCCGATTTAGTTTCAAAAATTCATCTAAAATTGACACTATTTTGCTCGAATTACTTTATTTGACATTTCACACAAAAGAGGAACAATATCTAAATCATTACAACATCAAAAACACTTCTAACTACTTTGCGTCATTGTTCTACATATCTAAAAGCATCATTATTATAAAGCGTCACTATTCTAAAAGTATACACTCATCATTGCTGGTTCTCAGAAAACAAACTTTCTTTTTCGATTCTCGTCGGTCTGGAGGCTCAGTCCGTTCCTCAAGAGCGGAGCGAGCATCGTTCATGATACACTTTAACTCAGCCACAGTGTGGTTTAAAGTTCATGAGGTCTAATCGTTCAGGGGTTCGAATCAGTCGTCCACATCTAGTTGCTTTGAAAGGATTCTGATTGATCTTTGTCAGTGGTATGAAAATCTGTAGATCCAGTAAAAGTTGTAGGCTTAGCACAAGTTGTTTGATCAGAATGCTTCTTTCTCAAACAGTCTCTTATAGTATCCATTTTTAAATAGACTTCCAACAGATAAATTCGTTGCATGGGTTTTTGAATGATTTCGCCACTTTTGGTGCATAATTTTACTAAATGAACTACACCATCATTTCCTGGGTTGAATGTTATAATTTTTCCTAGAGGCCACTTGATTCTCTTGTCAGATGTTTCTATTAACACAATGTCTCTAACCGATAGTTTAACATATTTCTCTGTTTTTAAAATATGGTTTTTCTGTTGTTCTAAATATTCAATTCTGAACCGTATTCTTAGATCTCTGACTTTCATCTGATATGCATACCTTTTTTGTAAGTATTTGGCATCAATAATGTCTAGATCTGGAATGGCACTTTCTTTTAGATCACGAGAAACATTGCAGGTTCCAAGGGTTTCAGTTCCAAGTCCTCGGAAATATAAGTTAATTGTCTGCAATTTAAAATATTTTTGCAATCACAGAGGATCGTAGAGAGTTCTTCATATTTCAGTGAGGCATTACCTAAAACTTTTCTGAGAATGTTTTTCATTAGGGAAACTGGTGGGGTAAATTTCCATTTAATTCGGTTGACAGCATGAATAATTTTATCCCAGTCAATCATTTTTAAGAGCAAATTTGTACCAACAAAACTACTACCGTTATCAGTGTAGACAATTTCAGGTCTTCCTCGGTGAGCTATAAAACTCCGGAAAGCCAATAAAAAGTTATCTGTTGACAAAGTTCAAGATGAATTGCCCTGTATATGACACATGTAAATAAAACGATCCACGTTTTGACCCATTTTTTAAAAACAAAGGGCCAGCTAAGTCGATACCGGTCACTTCAAAAACAGGAGAATCTGTAACAGTCTTTTTGGCAAAGGTGTGGATTGTACTGTGGTGGGCCTCGAATCAAATCTTCTATATTTAGTGCAGTTTTTCAACACTTAATGAATAGTTTTACGACTTTTCAAAATCCAGAAATTTTCATGTAGCATTGTCATTAAAGTCAGAGTTCCGCAATGCATTTGTTGTTCATGATTTTCCATAATCAGTTGAGAGACAACTGGATGTTCAGAAGGTAGGATTAAAGGTGTTTTAAAATTTTCTAAGTCTTGTCTCATTAATATTCTTGACTTTACTCTTAAAAGACCAGATGAATCAACAAATGGTTTTAAATGTCGTAAGCGTTTATCCTTTTCTGTTTTAAAGGAGACCCTTTGCACAATTTTCCAAACAAGGACTTGAGCTGCATTCAATTCTTTGATTTCTAAGTTCTTTGACGTTGTTCTATTTTTATCTCTGCAGTTGTCAATATACCTTTTTATCCAAGCTGTAACTCTAATTATTTTCTCAAAAGAAGAAATTCGTGAGAAATGTGAAAATTCTTCATCTACATTTGGATTCAACTTTAACCATGCTGGACCTTCATGCCATCTTTTGGCTTTAATAGTTTCAACAGAACATCCTCTTGACGGAATATCTGCAGGATTCAAGTTTCCAGGAATATAAAACTCCATGTATCAAGATTAGTAAGATCTCGTATTTCTTTTACTCTATTCATATCAAATACACCCCAATTTTCTTCATTCTTAATCCAGTACAATTTGTTCCTTGAATCTGTCCAGTAAAACATAGGCATATTTTCTTCCTTCAAATCTTGTTTTATAGATTTCATTAATCTTGCACCAACAACACAAGCTAATAATTCTAGTCTACAAATTGATGTGGCTTTTAGAGGAGCAAATCTAGCCCTCTAAGCGGCAAGGCTGTGGCCTTAGAGAAATGTGCAGCTACAATATTTTTTTGTCATATCTGTAAGAGCGTATATATACGTGCATATTAAAATATGTCAAAGAAATTAAGGCAATATATCAAAAGAAAGCAAATCCAGGTATGAAATACTAGGAGAGTTTTTACATTAAAATCAAAAACATAATTTGTTCTCATAGTAGTTTTGGGAAATTCGTGCTTTCTTAGCGAAAACCCTACTAAATGACAAGAAACTTTAGTTTCATTTTTATTTTTTAAATAAACTCAAGTTGTATGTGCCATTCGGGATGCATGAAAGGATAATTTCAATTCAGAATCAATATTAAGCATCATCTGTCGGGGAAATTTTATTTCTGTTAAACAATTTGCATCCTTTTTCCATTTCATGTATTTCCTATGAATTTCTTCAGGAAGAGCTTCATCCCAAGTTACTTTTAATTCCCAGCAGTAACAGAATTTTAGAAATTAAAATTATAGGGCAGGTGAATCCAATAGGGTTATAAATTTTATGAATTTCAGACGAAATTGTTCTTTTAGGAACAGGTTTATTTTTTGATTCATTTAATCCCTTA